AACATAATCATCCCCAGAACTGTCATCTATTTCAAATGATTAAAGAAAGAAGAATCTGTATGTAGATATATTTCAGGGTTTTTTGTTAATAGAAAACACTGAACATAACAGAGCACTATCCTCATTTTGATTTTTACTGCAAAACCATTATATGAATATGTCGGGTACTTCCCGGGATGAGGAAATACTTAGGTATGAAGAGTTTTTATGGCCTCCATGTTAACTCGCATTACCTTTCATACATGAGTTTCTGTCAGTAGACTAAAAACTCAGAAACGTAAACTCTAATCTGTAAAAAATTTGATGAAAGGTAGTTATATGAGCAGAAGTCATACAAGCATTTGGGTGGAGGCATCTTAGAAGGTCAGAGCAGTGATGATGGAGGGAAAACATGTCACACAATTGACAGATAACTTTGCCAGAAGTGAAGTTTGATGAAACAAGCAATTGGAATTATCACTGCTGTTTCAATGAAGCTAAAGTACCACGGAGAGACTGGTGATAATGGCACCATAATTAATGCTTATGTTATGAAATATTTGTATTTTATATGTAAAGATGTCACTCTGGCAGAGTGTCCTCATGAGACAGCTGCTAAAAGGCGGTCTAGTGAGCTCTCACGATGCAAAAAGCAGCGTCAGTGGAACATAATTCTGTTGAGGACGGTATAATTTCTACATTGTTAGCCATTTACGGAATAAATATATGCAACCAAAGGAAAATGGCTGTCGCCGAATCTGTTTTTAAGCCAAACCTTTTATGGGTCATGAGTTTTTTAAAATGCGTATCCCAAAAAGTGGTATTGCAAGTGGAGGTAGTTTCAATGGTATGTCTTTCTGGGAGAAGATAGAGAGATTTCGCCCATCACATGCCTGTGCTAATGTGCTAACACACGTTCCCAAATGAATGTGAGGGGGAACATAATGAGATTACATTTCCGGTTTATTTCTATATGCATAAAAAGGGCACCATTTTGTATCTCCCACATGAAAATAACACTACTGAACTAATATTATCACGGCAGTTGCATACTATTACATATTTAACCAGTAAATGTATATTTTAACCGATGAATTTTTACCTATTTATAAAACTCACCCACTCATCTCCCAACACACACACACACACACACACACGCACGCGCACACGCACACGCACGAGTCCTCTTTGGGATGGTTGACATGTATTTCCATGACAGCTGGCTGAGTTTAAGGTGTAAGCAGTGGTCCTGGAACTCACCCACAAGCTAGTTGACCCATGAGGAGACTGACTCTGTGACACTGGCATTATTAACATCAGATACTAAGCACCTAAGGTCATCACCCAGAGCCCCACTCTGATGTTAATGTCCCCGCAGTCCCTGTCAACATGACAGCCTCCTGTTGGGTTCTCGAACACAATATGATGATCCTGATTTCTGGTTTTGTCGTGGAAGAGAAACACATACAGATATGTGACCAATAATAATTTTTACATAAAATGTACTGTGACAGTAAGGCGTTGGAATAACTTTAACAGAATTAAACATAGGAAGCCTCATTTTCTCATTCTGTCGATGAATTTGTAGGTCCCGTGGATGTCAGTATTCTAGCTAAATGCAACCCCTGCCTATCAAACCCATGTAAGAACGACGGCACCTGTAACAACGACCCAGTGGAGTTCTACCGCTGCACCTGCCCGTACGGTTTCAAGGTAAGTAGGAGCTGTTGTGGGACCCGTTATATGCATCCCTCGCTTTCTTTGGTGGGCCCACGTTATTTTATTGTGCTGACAACTTCTTTACACTCGACTCTACTTGGCCACTCCTTTTCCAGGGGCAGGACTGCGATGTCCCAATTCACGCATGCATCAGTAACCCATGTAAACATGGAGGAACGTGCCACTTAAAAGAAGGAGAAAAAGATGGATTCTGGTAGGTCATTAGTCTGTAATCTTCTGTGTCTGAAATAGTGGAGCAAGTATAACTAAGCACACATGCATTTCCTTTTCTAAATCCAGGGACATTATTTTCAAGAGAATGCCAGAAATCTGTTCATAGGGACAATATGTATTAGTTTCTCTCTGAGATATTGCAATGTAAAAACAAACGGAGTCATTGCAGTATTCTTAGCTCAGGATGCTACAAAATCAGGAAATTTAAACACACACATGCACACATTAGGATTAATCAAGTCAGGTTAGGTCAAGACAAAGTAATGGCTCTATTATGCTAATTAATAGTCAACTAGCCTCCTACTGCAAGTCATATATTCATCTGTTGTTTGTGTATTGCTTTAAAGACAGTGTGTAATGATAAGATGTAGGTCCCAGTGAAAGAGAAAATTAATGATTCATTTCCAACCCACAATATGAGTAGACAAACATGCTGTGAACATTTTTAATCTGGAGTTATTTAATCATACAGTACAATTACTTCAGATGTACTTCATGAATTATGAATAGACTTCTTATAATGACACTAATAATTTCACATAAGAATGCTAATGTACTACTAAAGCTTGTTAGAAATATCACTTTGTATAATAAATATGCTTCATTTCTGCATTCTGTTATGAAATTTTCTCTTTTACATCAGGACTTTTCAAGGATTATTCTGATGCCTATCAAGATTAAGTGTACAATGTTTTATGCCAGTGAAAAAATTTGCATTTGTTGAGACTTAAAGAGAACATTCACATTTTATAATTGCAAGGAAGACTAAATTTTATTTCAGATTTCTTTTTTTGTTTTGAGACATAAAGAAAATTACACATAAGGTAGTAGTGTTGTAATGTTTTAAAATCAAAACCAGTTTCTCCTCACTTATAAGCAAAGAGGCGTGAATTATTTTATTAGAGTACAATTTAGGATTAAGATTACAAGGGCTGTAGAGTGAACTTTGCTTGTGTTTTGAACCAGCAAATATATTGTATTTATTGCCATATAGGATCATGGAGCCATTTGCCATCTTGTAGCCAGTATAAATTTATTTCACAAATTCTTTCTGATTTGGGGGATATTACCTTAAATTGATGCTTACAACATGTCATTTAAAAGCATTTTGAAAAGCAAATTCTTATAGTTAAACTTCTCTAATTGATGAGTGTTATTTAGTTTTTTTTATTTTTTTCAATATTTAGACCATATGGTTTTAAAATGCAGGGAGTTTTTTTTTGTTTTTTTGTTTTTTGTTTTTTTGCCTTTTTTTTCCCCTTGGCATTCAGGTGTATTTGTGCTGATGGATTTGAAGGAGAAAATTGCGAAGTCAATGTTGATGACTGTGAGGACAATGACTGTGAAAATAATTCTACCTGTGTTGATGGAATCAATAACTACACGTGCCTTTGCCCACCTGAATACACAGGTAGGAAGAATAGAAAATGCTCTGCCATCAATCTGTGTATCTGAAAGCATCATCCTGCTGCATATGTTTAGTAAACCATTTTATTTTTTGAAAACTGGTAGGTGTTTTGGACATTACGTGTAATGTAAATAATAGATAGATTAAAGATGATTTCGGCCAACCCAATTAAAGACCTGCCACACTCAGTCAGAAAGTCATGCCATCCGGCAAAAATGAGTTATCACACTGAAGCTAGCAGTCTAATAACTGAATGGCATTTCCATACAAATCGCTTTTCCCGTGCAAACCAACCCACCAATACATGGATAAAAAGGGGGCATTTCTTTATGTAGTCGAAACATAACTAAGTGTCTGAGATTATTTGTATCTATACTTGCTCCTTCACTGAGTGTTTTTCTCTATTAACTCATGTCCTTCAAATCTAACACAAATAATGAAATATTGAGCACTTTGAATAATCTTATGAGACCATCACCTTTTTTCTGACATTTTGTCTCTTGAGATGATACATCTCATAAGACTATCCATCCTGCTTAATTTCTTCTGGATAAGCCAATTTGCTATACAGTCAACATCAAGTTTATGACTTGCCTATTATGTCAGAATATCTGTTTTGATTTATTTTCATGGCTATGAATAAGAAATATTTTAGTTACAATCTTTTTTTTTTAATACGTCACTTAGTTTTAATGTTGATCAAGAAAAGGAGAACGCTATACACGTTATTTGTTAGAAAAAAATGGAGAAGTAGATTCTATCGTTCTAATCTAAGTTACCATTTTCGTCTTGCTGGGTATTTTTCATTAATTGCATTTATTTCCAGATAATTTAATACATAGATAAGGGTATCAGACGGTGAAATAACTATGTAGATGACTGAAGTTAACATCTCTAAACGTGAAAGATGAAATCACATCTGTATGATTAAGTGTCCCAGGGATTTATTGGAAAAGCATGGAAATGCAAGCTTTTATAGAATACCCAAACTTTGCATATGTACACACACACACACACACACACACACACACACACACGCATGCACACACACAACCCTTGAGCTCTTTGGTGAGCAGAATTTGAGCATCCCTTGATATGTTGCATTAATAAAAAGTGGCAAGTAAACCCAACATGCACAGATTCTGAAGCCCCTGGAGCTAACCTGAGAATTGAGTTTTATTTTTTATTGGATGGGCTGATTTAGACTTGTACAAGGAGCCCAGTGTTTGCACTGAAATCTATTATCTAGATTTACCTAGATGGAATAGTTCTCTTTTCCCACCACTTGTTCTGATCATTATGGAAGGGGCTTAATTCACTGAATTCACTCTTTAAAACAATCTACTCTGACCCAGACAAACTGGACCCAAGCATTTCAAGCATACTTTGGCTAGCCGGTGAGATCCTGAGCGCAGCAACCAGGATTTTACCTCTGACCTCTTATTGTTGACAACCAAGGCTTGAGAGCACTGCAGTATTCAGGCTCTTACGTGCCTTTTCAATGATCATTTACAGACGGTGGCAGATTCTTCTGAGTTGGCTTGGAGTGGTCCTCCTGCTTTGGCTTTAGATTTGCTATACTTTATTCCTTGTCCATTGCTTTTGAGTCTTTGTCTTGTCTTCTCACCCTTTATTTTCCAAGCTCCCTTCCTATACCTGATCCTCTTGAACACATGATTTCTCCACCATAATGATTTGGTTCAGAGCGACTTCCTCTGAGAAGTATTACGAAGCCTCATCTCCCTATGTCAGATCTCTTTTTTCGAAACATCAAAAAAACCCAAAGCTTAGCAAAACCACTTTTTAGCCAAAATGTGACATCTATAAAAGCTATCATGTGGGAACCTGCCAAGAATATCTGTCAAGAGCCATTTGATTCTCAACAAGAACTGAGACTCTTTGAGTCTTTTTAAGCATAGCTATTGCGAATATCAGTTTGCCTCAATTTTGGCAAAGTATAAACGAAAATACTGAACTCAACAGAAACTTTATAGCATACAAAACAGGAAGATATTACCACTATAACTTCGGGCCGAGTCTTGTGGGGAATGAAGAGTTTGACGATTTGGCATTAGAACAAATATCTAAATGAAGCACGTTTGTAACTCATCTATTAACTGTAGTATTTTTGTCCATATGTGAAGTGAGCTCATTTACAAAATATCAAACAGCCATCTGCAGATTTTGAAATCAGTGGCACATAGTGGCCTTTAATTATAGGAAAGTATAAATTGGACTCTAGAGTTTTATATCCTGCTTTATCCAAGTCTGCAGTTAGGGAGGAATTTTCCTATAATGTGGCTGTATTGTTTTAGGTTTAAGTTTGCAATCTGATTAATGAGCATAAGATCTGGGAACAGAAACCCTGCTATGCTCAGGGAATATAATAATGTTGTCATTGTTTAAAAATCATTCAAGTCACAAGTTGCTTTCTGTTTGAAGATTTTTTTTTTTTTTGACTCTATACCCCAAAGGCATACAATGAGAAAGTGAACTCTTCAGTCAGAGCAAATAAAACTTCATGGAAAAATCTTGTAAATTATTATGGGAAAATGTTTTACATTTGGCATCCATGGCAGCAGTCAGAATGGATATATTGTTGTTAATGAAGAAAATTCAAGGAACTAAAAGCAATCTGACAGAGAAGTCATGATGTGATGGGCAGGCTATAAAACATGGCTACTAATGTTCAAAATAAAATGAACCATCATTGGGAAATTTATTAAATTTATTTAATCCACTGTAACCAACACATCACAGTAAATAGTTATTGATTTATTAGAGGACAAAACTCTCTGCCCTTTTCTGCTGTAGGGATTGACAACATAAATTTTAAGGGCCAATATCATTTTTCTGTTATCTGACACTTGCAATACCCTTCCCATCCTAGTTATCAAAACTGAATTTTGCCAAAATTCAATCCATTACCTGTCCTATTTGTATCATTTACGACTGTTGATTGCTAATATTCTTCAGACAAGGTTAATTTTTTTAAAGTTTCATTCACCATGATTCTAAGTTGAAATCACTATGCTAAGGATTAAGCAGGTAGGACTTTGGAACTGCTACACAAATAATTGAAAATTTTACTCCAGGGTTTTAATTTTAGCTTGAAAGATTGTGTTTGGGTTTTTTTTTTTTTAATCATTATTATATGTTTTCTAAAAATGAGGCATTTCTTGAAGGTAAATTTTCAAGGAATTCCTCAAATTACATAAGCTCGAAACCTTATAAAAATGAAAATTATAAATATGGCACCCCTGCCATGTTGAAAACTTGATGCCTTTTCTTAAGCTCTGGTATGAACTTAGACGTTGAATTGAAAAGTGTTTTTGTATGTTTCCTGAGAGTCAGAATCCCAAATCTGCTCCATAAAGACTGATCTTAATTAACCCTATTCTCACGGGACCACATACAAAGATGAGACAAAATTGATCACAGTGTAAACCAGGCTTCATGGGATTACATAAATTCAATCAATGAAAGCTCCCATACCAGTTAGGCATGTAAACGCTTATAATATATTTTGCGGGGGGCGGGGGGAGAATTCATTTTTAAATTAATCGAGAACATTTTAATTTTTCCGTTTTGTACCATTATCTCTTTGCTTTCCAAATCTCCAGTGCCCACATGCAAACCACTAAGGGCACATCTTAAAAAGTAAGGCTGCTGGTTAAGTCACCTGGTTTAGAGGCAGCTCTCTCGCCCCCCGTGATGGTGTTTACCTATTGCCTCATTTCCTCCATGTTTGTGCGTCTGGCCGGCTGTAGGTAAGAAACCCAAGCCTTGCTTCAGTTTGCTCTCTCACCCTCGGCTTCTCCGTTGTTAAATGCTGTGCTTTAGCTTCACGTGCTCTGCTGTTGTATCGCAATGTAAAAAGTCTTTTGTCTCTTCTGTCTTTGTCGCTGCCAGCCGCTAATCTGAATGAGGTGGAAAAAGGTTAGTTGCCTTTTAAGTCTATTATGATTTCCGTTTTCATTTCCTTCTTTCTTTTAAAGCTGCATAGATTTCATTATGTGTACATGATAAAAGGAATGCTGACAAAATCTGAAATCTAGAATCGATATGTTGAATCGGTCATTCAGATCCTCGATGTATGAATAGCTGTGCCAAACGCTATAAAAAGGGCATCGGAAATGTGCATTACCAATTTCTAGAAGGCTGTGAAAGAAACCCTCTGTGTGGGAAGAAGGGGTGGCTAAAAAAAAAAAAAGAGTAATACTTTCTACTTTCTGCTTGTCTGTATGCTTTTACTTCTTTAAAGATATCATGAACATGAACTATTTTTACGATGGAAAATATAGGTCATTTAGGACATTAGATAGGCTATAGACAGAAAATTTGTTCAATAGTGGGACTTTTCCAATAATTTTAAACTAAAATCTTTAGTAATTTGAAACATGAACAACATTGAAAGGTGTCTACATTTATTAAAACATTTTATAAAATAAATATTACGAAGCCCAAGAGGTTGAATTGTAAAATGACATCGTCAAACTCATATTATAGTACATACATCGTGAGTGTTAGGCAGCATTTTTAAAGCACAGGAAGAGCTACATCTAATCATTGATGTCAATATGGTCTATGTGGCTCCTCAAATATGTCAGGGCCCAGGAAAGAATGTCTTAGAAGCGATTAGGGCAGTAGGCCTGTCTGAGGAATCATTATGGAGTCTGTGACATTTTATCTGAAAGATTCAAGACTATTACTAATAACATCAAATTTTCACTCATTCCGCTGACCAAAAGTCTTCAAGAGCCAAATGCCAGCACCGCGTCCTAAAAGGAGCCCTGTGCGTGCTTGTCTTGACAGTTCCACTTAGATGTGAAGCATTGACAGTAGGATTGATTATATGACCAACATGGAATACATTACATAGGAGCTCTCTCTTTCTCCTCTTGCTAAGGATTTCATTTCTTTCCATAGCATTGTTCAGGTGATTTACTGGTCGGTCACTTACTCTTACTCTGTACAGAGTCAAGTTGAAAAATATGAAAAAC